TCGTATATCAAAACTTTGACAACTTATTACTCCTATTGAAGGCAATTTCCCTTAAATAAAGCTAACACAGAAAGTTGCTGATGTAAGTTTAGAACTTACTGGGGTACACTGTCACAGCAAAGGGGCAGGGAAAGAAACGGTAGCCATCAAATGAGGCACATATGTCATAGGATCCAATATCCATGGCCACATAGCTACCGGTATATGAACCGTCATTGTTGTCAACAAAGCTAGACGTTGAAAAACCTGATCTATTAATTGAAGCAATCTCTAGATTTATCTTAGACTGTTGGGATAGGATCGGGTTAGTATATGAATCCATGAGCTGTACGACTATATCGTTCTTCATCAGCTTTGATACCTTACTAGAGTATTTCACAACCCCAGAAAGAGATGCATTAACCCTGCCTGCATCCAATCATAATATTTTAGTATATGGCCCCTCTATACACATAGAGAATATTTAGACAAATGTATTGATAGAATTCAAGAAGCTAGTTCAACCCTTGGCCTCACTAACCCATACTTTGCTCACATAAAAGTGAAGTTTAAACGGACTGCACCGTGGGCTGATGAATGGGTCACTAGTCCCACTACTCACTAGCCACAGTGCTAGGTGTTAAAAGTGAGCTGGAACTCATTGATACCATTGTTGGGTTGGGATAAGTTGGATAACTCAACTTGGAATACTTCAATAGAGTTCAATATATTAGCCAATTCAACTCAAGGCCCTATCAACCATTATTATCTTTTTTTTTACTCAATGAGACTCTAACATGCAAGTTTATGAGTGTATCCTTTATTAGTTTACTTGTTCTTTTTTTGGTTGGCATGCCATACCTGGACTCACTTCTTTTCTAATTGGGTGACCGCCATTCAAAGGAATGTTTCCACAAAAGACTCGAATTTGGTATGGTCCACTCTTTTGAGGTGTATAATTGACATCGAAGATGCTGAACCTCAAGTTTCCAGAAGACTGCATCCCATATTAGGTAAGATGGTCTTCCAATATGTGCCATATAAATAGCTAAAAGAAACTCTTTTAACACAATTTCTTACATTTATATTGTTATCAGCTGTAGGAGTAAAAGCACTCTCTGTTTCAAGGACTTCACTAAGATTGGTTTTACCAGCAGAAAAATCACCTGTGAATAAGAATATCAACACTAGGCAAGCGTAATCTCAAGGAAACATTATGCTCAGTAGAATGGATAATTGATCTACTCTAATACCGTTAACCATCTGCTTTGGATGTATGCTTGGTTGTAGAGGCTGGGAAGACGCTTCATGGAAAATTTGCACATGAAGTATTTGTAACTCAATTAGAGATGGATATTCAAAAGCGTCTCTTAAGGAAACAGAGAACCTTGAAACTTCACCAGCAACAGAATGATTGAGACCAGTCCCATTAACAATGCTGCTCATTCCATCACAATAACCTTAGAAGAACATTTAGATTTTTGTTTAGCACATCTATCAAAAGAGAATTAAGGGACAACATGCAGCACAAGAAAACTAGAAAGTTCCCAAATTTAGTTTGACATCTAATAACAAAAACATATTCTAATGAATGCAATCCTTATTTCTGAATTTCAAAATTAATCAACAAAGGTCGTCGTCGTCGTCATCATCATCATCATCATCATCACTATTACCCCAGTGCCGCAAAGCTCCCACCTACGATGGAGTAAGCGTGGATCGGATGTACGCAGTCTTACCCCTATACTAAACACAGAGAGACTGTTTCCAGATGACTCATAGTGAAAATCGCATCGAAAACTGCATGGTCTGACTGCTGCTTCATAATAAAGAAGCGCAAACAGTTTAGTGAGTCATTTTGCTTTATTCCATCATATCCCCAAGCCAAAGAATCGTGACCCTTTGGCTCCAATGCAAATGATGGAAAAAACATAGGTCATATACACCTAAAAAATAATCATAATATGTTTTCGATATAATTCGGGATAGGGTTGGGGTCACACTCGGTTAGCTATAAGGCATTGGGCTAAACAACTCCATTCAATGTGAACTTTAGCACTCCCCTCAGGCCTCAACTAGACAACTGGTCCACTTCAAATCTAAGTGGTCGGTCAAATTCAAAATTAAACTCTTTGCCCCCCTAAAATTTTGACTCGAAATGCATTACCATTTACCAACACTAACGGACATCATTTAGCCTATTATTCTCTCTTTAATCTCCGGAGGTGAACCATCATTAATATATAAAAACACATATAAGTTGCTGAAGATGTAATAGGAGTGGTTTACACATGAGAACACCTATAAATACTGTAAATTGATATGGCATGTTGGATATGTGGGTCTTCTGCTCCTTATCAGATATCACAAGCATAAACTCCCCTGGTTCGGCTAGGGTGAAGGAAAACAACTGAATTCCAATGTCAACCTCGGTGAACTGCAGATCTGTGACAGGCATTATCAAATTTGTCCCATTTTCCACGATTTCCACATCAAACTCATACAGTCCTGGAACATGATTTCCATACTTATCGTACTGGTGAATGAAACCCTCCATGAGAGAAAATAATTGGAAATATTTTGTTTCAATGCTCCACCGAGCTACACAGCTGGAGACATCTAGTGCCCCTGTAAGAAGTACCACGTGTGAACATAATTGGTCAAAATATGACAAATTCCCTCACTAGATGCTAAGTATTTCTAATCGCAAAACAAGAAATATTTATAACCAGGAGACACATCTAATGACAGTGGGGAGCCCCTCAGTGTCTGGTTTTCTGCTTGTACATGAAGTAGTAGACTTCCAGCGGTAGCTATGACAAACTCCATGCCCAGAAAGCCAAACTTGTTCCATCCTTTACTGGTGACATTGAGCAAACTTGCAATGGAACCATTTTCACTGTTTGCGGACAAGTTGAAATTATAAGAATTCAACTTATCATCATCATCATCATCATTTGAAGAGACATTATTTCCAAATGCATCTTTAGGAAGTATCCAAATCACAGCCTTTGTTCCGGCTACAAATTTTCTCCCTCCACCCGGCCATGAAACAACCCCAGAAGCCGGATGAAAACGCCCTTCATATAAGTTAGCATATAGTTCAGCAAGGAATTTCTCAACAGACTAAAAAGCGTTCAAACTAAAAGTGAAGGAACTGAAGTTAGAAACCAGATGATCTGAACTTTCAAAGTTTGGCTCAACTGATAGATGACAATGATAAATCAAAATATGGAGCGCATAAGCTCAAATGAGCATAGAAACAAGTTTTTTAGCAGAACTTTGAGAATCCTCTGCTATTTATTTTGATTATACATAAACTTTAGTGGCTATTGGAGATTCCAAACCTGGGATGGTACGAAAATGCAGGGACGAATCGAAAACGTTGAAGTTATCATCCGTAATGAGGACATTGAACAATCCAGCCAGGATGGGTATGAAAGAAATTGCCCAGGACTTGACATCACTACCAAATTGCAAAGAAATCCCAGAAATGTAAGAGCTGTTTCCCGTCTTATCATTGACAGTGATGTTGGGATTAAAAGGGTATTGATATTTCTCCATCTCAAATCTCCCTAGCACTGTAACCTTTATAAACGCCATTTCCCCTGCCACAAAAGTGTCTTTGTCATTCAACCAAGCGAAAGCAAAGTTGGGCATTCTGGGTACTTCTGCAAAACGAAAGCACAAAGTTAGTTTCTTTAGCATTTCAAAAAACGAAGCCAATCTAGCAAGGTTGAATGTATGAATCAAAGATACCTGGAGTTGAGAGTGTAGATATGAAAATAGACGCCGTCAAGATTAGGAGGTGGAGAAATGTAGGTTGGGAAGCCATGTCTGGAAGTTCTTGGTTGAAATTAAGGAAAAGCCGCCAGATTAACATTAAGAGAGGCGTTGCAGTAAAGCGTGAAACCAAACGGTTATAACCGTTGGTGTCTGATATAATCTGCAAAAAAGGTTGATGAAACTTCTATTATGTTTTCAAATTTCACTCCCTCCCTAACAAAAAAATCTTCCCACAATTCCTTTTTCATCCGTAATAAAAAAATCTTTTCATTTCTAAATCTTCCCATCATACGCTCAATAATTTTAAAAATAATACACTATTACAACTACTCTTTTTTGGATTTATCCTACATTCCATCACATTATTCCACTATCTTCCCATCATACCCTCAATAATTCATATTCTTTTTCACTATTCTTAATCTACCTACTTTTGAAATGGGAAGATTTTAAAGTTAGGGAGGGAGTATATTATATAACCCCGTATTATCTATTTGGTCGAGTATACCGTATATACCCCATATCATCTATTTGGCTATTAGGGTCAGGGAGGGACTAAGGGAGTATATTATATACCCCATACCAAATTTCAGATAAAAATTCAATTGGGAAGGCTGTTAAATGAATTTTTTAAGATAACTGCGCAGTTAAACAACGCAGTTAAACAGCGCAGTATATTTCAGAAAATCATTTGACTGCCTTCCCGGTTTTATTTGTAGCTAAAATTTGGTATGAGTATACTAGACTTAATGAAGAAGATGCTCAAAAAATTTCATCAAAAAATTCCACCGGGAACCGCCCCAAATGGCGACGACCAGACAGAACCTCCTATATAAGGGGTGATTTGCATTTTTTTGATTAGTTCGAGGGCTTATTTGCTCCTTTTCCCTTCCAAAAAATACTTTCCATTTTCCCTTTTTGGACAATTTGTGTGGCTCACATTCATGTTATTGTTTTTTACACAACTGCAACCATACATTTTTACATTATTTTACTTTCTTAATAAGCGTGCTAATTCAAATCGGGAAGTATTCTTTGGGACAAAGGTAGTACTTAATTTGAATAATACTCATTACTCCGTATTATTTTGGGATGAAGACATACTTCCATATTTGAATATGTCCAGTGTTTTACTCTTATTTTAAGCAACTTTTAATTTGTTTATTATTATTCCCTCTGGATTTTCTATTTTTTTTAATAATGTTCACCGAAAACATGGAAAAGAATCAAAATTTAAGAAATACGTGGCCGGCCGGAATGCTTTCATTGTTTGTTTAATTTGTTCCCAATGATAGACGTAGAGAGTATCACTTCGTACAATTCATTACTCCGTACAATACTTCATTAGTAATTATTGGAGGTATGTGCCTATGTTGTGTGAGCTAAAACATACAATTTCACTATAACTTTTTAAATATGCCAGTCAAGTATATTGTGATCTGACAATATGATGCTGGTCTGGACATAGAACATATACTATCATACGCTAGGAAGCTTTGCAAATAAAGCAATCTGTAAATGCTTATACATATGTATTTAATTAATTACAAATTTTTTCTTGGAAGGCCGAGCTCCTTCGAGCCTCCCGCCCTCCCCTGTCTCCACCTGCATGCATGGGACTATGGGAGGTAGCTAATTAAATTGAATTGGATTTTTGGATGCACCTTAATCCACTGGCAAGTTGAGATCGAGTAGTGGAAACTGCCATCTTATCTTTGCAGTTAATATTTGGTTGGCGGTTGGCCACTTAATTATTTGAAAACAAATTCTTGGACACTGATTTTGCATCTGGTATGCATGCGCAAATTATACCCTCAATAGACATATGGTACCATATTCTCACACTTTTAAAATGGTGTGGTTTTATGTTCAAATATTACAATCTCTAGTTTTCTTCCCTCCAGTGTCGAATTGTTCATCTTTTCTTTCCCTTTCTTATAATATTCTCATTTCTTTCTATATTTTTCCGTTCTTCCCTCTTTTTCTCGCTCTATATCAAAATACTAAAAAAGTAACTGTAATTGTATTTTTCTTTATCTTCAACCTAGCTAAATCACAATTGAATCTACTTTTTTATTCTTTATCTAATCTAAAAAATAAGTATCGTTGCATTTAATATTCATATGACATTTTTTTCTATAATACTTCTTTTTATATTCATAAACTGCATCTATAATATATTTTTTCATATTAATACACCTTTTTATGTAATGCCAAACAACTTGTGGTTCGATGACATCACTATGACACCCTGAATGAGAAGGTCACAAGGTCGAAACTTAACTCAATATTGATGTGTAATATTGATTATATTCTCAAATTGTAAATATAGGCTTCAAATTTGATGTGTAATAATGAGATTATTACTTTACGGTGAAATTTATGATGTACTAGTATATTGAGTTATACTCCGTATATCATATCTATAATTGTATTGTATTAATCTAATTTAAACTGTGTAGTACCATTTATCTAAGAAGTTTCAATTCCTTGAGTCGTTTCTCTCCTCCATAAAAGAAACAGAATTAGTATACTTTATACCCCACCCCACTTTGTAGAGTTCTGGCAGGTCTTTATTATTCTTCATATATAAGAGCAATAACTTCTGATATGGAGCATAGCTGGCATATCTACAGTGCAGTCATATATCTGTTCTTCAATGCTGAGATCTTTTACAATAATCTATTGCTTCCTGGATTGAATCTTCTCTATCCCAGGAATATCTGCCACTGCTGCTTCTCCTGAAGAGCGGCTTCTCTGGGTATCCGTTTGAATAATCTGAGGTTATCGAAAATCTTTGAGAAGAAACTTTTGTTGGCGACAATAACCTTTTAGAAGCACCTGAAAAAGACCTTCTTCTGCGACCACTTTCTTCATATCCTGAACCATTATCTCCTTTCTCTAAACTCTTCCCGGTTAGAGCAGATGAACTTTTGCTAAACAGTGACTTAAAATAAGCACGGGAAGCTTTCACCTTTGAACTAAATGACCCCCCTTTTGAAGCCTCCTCGTTGATGCCTTCTTCTGCCAAGCACTCACAGAAGAAGTATTTGTAAGTAATAATGATGAAAACAGTGGATAAAAATGCGACTTTTATATGTTAGTTTTACACCTGGTGATCGAGGTGATATATTTATAGTAACTTTAGTCACATTTTGTCCGTAAATTCTGTTGGAGTGTGTTTAAGGAAAAACCTGTGTCGGGACGAATTGGTTCCGTGCTAACATGGCAAGAATTGAAAGGAGAAAAGGTGTTCGTGTTTTCGAGAAGTTTGCGGAGCATTTGTAGACGGGGCGGGAGGTGAAGGGGGAGGAGTTTTCCTTTGCAGAAGAGTTCATCTGCTGGAGAAGTTGAGGGGGTGTACCTTTCAGAAGAGGTTATTGAGAGCATCTGGAACTCAAAGTCTATGCTGGCGGGGTGAGAGGAAGAGCTGAAAATGGCGGAATCTGAGGGTAGTACTTCCATGTCTATGCTGTCTTCTTCCTCTACATGATCACTACGTGTGTAGGGAATTGCTTCTTCCATCTCTCAGAGTTCAAATGATTAACAAAGATTGAAGTTTCTCTGCAATTGGTGGTATGCAAAACTGTGCATATGGATGATGGCTAAAGGAGGTGCAGAGTCAGCAGAAGACAATTAATACTAATGAGAATGGTTGTTTGTTTTTCATCAATCGCCTTAATCCTAGCTAATTCCCAGGGGTGGGTGGCATTAAAGTTACACAACGCCAATAATGAATTGACTAAATAATCACATTTTTTTCATTCAAAATTATATGATCATTTTAATTGTTTTATTACATATATAAGAATTTGGCTTAATTATTTCTATGTATTTATTGATTTATTTGTTCACTCATATGTGAAAGAGTCTCTGAAATTGATTCTGCTCTGCTTCTTTTTCAAAAACATTAGCAGAATCAGAATCAATTTTTCAGAAACTGGTCTCCTTCAGACTTCAGCTCCTAAAAAGTGTCTCTAGGATCAATTTGGAGCATCTAAAAGTACTTTTGCACTTTCACTCAAACACCTCACTATATGTTTCTTCTCTCTGAAGGAGCAGAAACAATTTTAATAAATAAAATCCAAACACCTCCTAAATGTGATATTTTATGCGTAACAAATACTACCTCTGTCTTGAAGAATTGTCATATTGACATTTTTTGTCAATGATGGCAAACTTAATACAATGATTTTAATAATTATATTTGTATATAATTTATAAATTTTATACTTTAATGAAAATATTTTGAATAAGGCATATGTAATATAATTTTCACATTCAAAACAATTTTATTTTGAAAAATATATTGATCAAAGTTGATTACTATTCACAACAAAATTAATTTTACGAACCTTTTCACAATAACTGAGGGAGTAAAAACTAATTGAATGTGAATCAATTCTATGTCAAGCTCTAAAATATCTTTGAAATAATTATGGACTACCCGCCTACCCCATGTGGCATCATCATCTCCTTAAAGTTTACATATTTGACCTGTCATTAAACTCGAGGTAACCACACTCCACAGGAATTGTAATAAATGAACTTAGGGCACAGGTGCTCATATAAGTTGGTTTTAATTCTTGTCTGGGAAAGGGTCAATCCACGTTTGAATTGTAGATAAACACTTTAAAAACATTAAAATCGTGTTTGCACCTAAACAGTCCTTGAGAGTTCATATGAATTGGAGCAGATCGAAAGGAGAGCTTGTAAGATTGTAAGGTACACTTTTCAATACAAAGCAATATTCCTACTTTTCATTTCTATTTTAGAAAATAATTAAGACTATTAAATAACAAATAAATCATTAAATATTAAAAAAAATACAGAGTACATCTATAATATCTGTCATCATCAACAATCTCATTATGTTATATACTCATCAAATAAATTTATTAAAATATACTCTAATTACTTTATTTATTTATTATCTAAGTAACCGTGTAATTTTTTCAATGAGAAGTTTAAACCAGGACCAGTGACGGGCCTACTATTTTTATTTTGGGTGTTCAAAATTATCCATTTTTTCATTGAAATACTAGTAAATAAATTATTACTCTAATTCATGCATGCATATATATATATATATATATATATATATATATATATATATATATATATATATATATATATATATATATATATAGGTAAGATATCAAATACAAACCATGCTTAAAATACTAACCTACAAACTCAATAATATGCAACACTTTGAACTTCAATATGCAGTACAAATAATGTAAAGATGCACACTGTGAATTTCAATATGCATTACAAATAATATGCAACACTTTGAACTTTAATATGCAGCACAAATAATATGCAACACTTTGAATTTCAATATGCAGTACAAATAATGTAAAGATGCACAGTTTGTAAAGATGTAAACATGCAGTACTAGTTTGTATGTGATCTCACCCCTAACTTGAAAAACTCATTTGACAACCTTCCCGATCGAATTTTGAGCTGAAATTTGGTATGGACAAACTAGACTTGATGAGGAACATGCTCAAAAAATTTCATCAAAAAATTCCACCGGGAAGGTGCCCAAACGGGCTCGGCCGGACGGGTCAGCCCGTCAGGCCGGCCTGACATGAACATTCCTCTATATATATATATATATATATATATATATATATATATATTTCCATTGTTTTTATATTTTGGGTATTCACATGAACACCCTTACATAGCAGAGATCCACCAATGGCCAAGACGGAGGTAATATATCTCAGCAGCTATTGGGTACCCGGTACCCCAAGCATTCTAGAACCAGGTAGTTATAAGACTTGACCGGGACCGGGAGGCTGAATTGGGTCAAAAATATTATTACAAAAAGTATAAAATTATTTAATTTTACATAAATATATAAGTTAAAATAAATGATCAAAGTTTATCATCTTTGATTGGAAAAGTCATAGAGGGCTAAATAAAAAAGAATGGAGGTGATATATATGGCATTATGGCAAAATACATTATATGTATTTTAGAAACGCCAAGATCGAGTGTCTTCCAAAAGTTAAGGACAACTTTTTGTAGGATCTTATTACTTGCTTTATGGTAGTGTGTTTGTGACTTAAAATAAACTTTTAATGGTATGACCGTATGGGGAGATCCAAGGTCACATTGATCAATTTTTCAAAATAAACATACTTATATGATACGGAGTCATAAATTGAAAATAGTAGAATCTTCTATTCGATCCTGTTTCTGAATGATTTAGTGAAAATGTGAAATGGAAGAATCTTCTATTTGATCCTGTTTTCGAATGCTTTAGTGAGAATGTGAAATAAAAGCCGACACTTGCCTATCTTTATACGTAGTACTGTATAAAAATAGGCAAGTTTCGGCTTCTATTTTAACCAACATTTTAACCAGCACCCAAGTATATATTGTAGTATACCAAAACCTCTTCGAGTTGTTTGGACCTCCTTTTAGGAAGTAGCATAAATAAACTTGGCCTTTTCCCTATCAACAACATATGACGATACCAATCTCCTCACCAAATCTTGGACTCGTGTAGACGTGTATGCTGCATCCAGATAGAAGTGACATTACATATAGAAAATTGAATCCCTCCACAAACATTTGCAATATAAGGAAACAACAGTTACCAATTTATCAACATAGCTGAACATGAAATTTGGTAATTAAACATTTCTATATCTAAGAGAAATTACTGTAAATTTGAGTATTTACATTCGAATTTAAGAAGCGTTAATGCATTTTAGAATACAAAGAAGCAATTCCCAGGCCAACTGTTTTCAATAACCGTGGGCCTAAGAATGTCATTTATCCTAACAAGCATTGTAATAACTGCCAATTGTTCGTTTGAGTTTGTATAAAAAAGTCGTTTGAATTGTGAGACTTCTATTTGTGGGATGCAGATTCCTCATTTCTTAACTCTCTTTCTAGTTCTTCAAATTCCCAGTCACCAACCTCTTCTGCCAATTGTTCATTTGAGTGGCTCTCCCTATTGACCTGACCCAATTCAGCCTCCAATTCAGCCAATTCCACATTATGATCTCGAATCTCCTCAGACTTGGGAGCTGATGGTTCTTTCTTCTGATCTTCAATTGCTGGTCCTTCACTTTGCTCTTTTTCAGCAATTTCAGTCCCAGGATTTGTCGCGCTTTCTTTTGGCCTTTCGCCAGATGGTCCTGGTGTCTCCATTTCAAGATTTGGTCTCTCAATTGAATCAAATTCCGCTCTCAACTTTTCAATTTTTTCAAGAAGTTCCTTCACCACTGAATCATCTTTCCTGGACGTGAAGGAGACAGTCAAGAAATAGTTTAATTCATCAAAGCTATGTTTGGAACTCGGAAATCAGTAGTGGGGGTTAAGCAAAATGTTTTCATTTAGTATTTAGCTGTACTAGGAAAACACGAAGGAAAATTAAATTAAATGTGATTAGAGATGTATAATGAAAAGAGTTTTTAACAAATAAATAACATTGATTTATTGAGCTAGAAATGACTTCTTATCCCCCAACTTTCTTTCCTTGCAAGTTGCCTTTCTATTTTCCTTCCTATTTTCTTTCTCTAGCATTTTTTGAGTTCCAAACAGACCCCAAGAGTGAATATTTGGGGAAAGTGACATCAGCAGAAGCGCGGTCCGTGAACAAGAGACCTGGAGATTTTTTCTTGGTGGGAATAGTACTGCTCCTTCATGTTATCCACCACACTGAAGGTGGTTATAATCTGCAATTAAAACAGACATTCAACAAGGGGATGAGGGTGTAGTACAACTGCTACACCTAAACTAGATAGGGGGTCAGTTAGGGGAATTACCAGGGACCTCCCAAAAAAAAGACTAGGGTTTCAGTGTTCCACCATAGTACAACTTCGAATTTAGTAAGGTAAAATGGTACAACTATCAGGAATCATCAGTTCAACTGTTCAAGCTATATTTTAAATTCATTTCTGGTCTGACTACAGCTTATGTAACATACTTAACTCGTTTGTGAAACTTTTTTTTTAAGGAAATTACATTAAATATAATGAAATTAGCCTTTTTCCAATATGGATTTTTTGTTTTGTTTTTAACAAACAAATGTTTTCAAATACTCCATATGACTCTTAGCGGCAGAGATAAATTACCAAATCAGGGACATGTGAGGCAACTTTCCTATTCGCCTCAGATTCTAAAACAACATATGAATAACAATTGCAACAAATAATAAGCAAAATTACCTTGGCTTCATATTCAAGGTATTCCTCCTCAAGATTATTTCTCGGGTTAATTGTGTTAGAATCATCATGCTCCACATCAGATGCAACCGCTGAGCTATGTGTATTACTTCAAGATTTCATATAAGTATGATGAATTGAATGGGATATGTATAGATGAGCACATACTGATAAAAAATAAAGACATCGTTACCCTTTGTCAAAACTCCTCAAATTCTCCACATACTTCGCAATCCGATCAATATCTGGCTTTAATTCTCTCTGCGCAAGAAGCATGACACATCATTCACACTTCACTTTTGCAAAATCTGAAGATGTGGTATCAGTATATATCACTTATCAAAGTACCTCATAAGCAGAAAGGAGTTCAATGACCAACTTCAAAAAATAGTCTTCATGCCGTTCCAGTTCATCACTAAAAGAAGCAAAGTAACAATTAGTAATAAAGCAAGAAGAAGATATTTTAATCAGTAGTTCAAAAGACACATTAGCATTAACATTAAGCCCCCCTCCCCCCGCTTTAAAAGACATTGTTTTGGGAAAGGTACGACTTTTGTATTTGGCATGAGTACAACTGTTAAGAGTCATGA